AAGAGGATTAATACAAAGTTCATACTTGGTGAAACATATATTTTGAGAAAGATTGGCCTACAGTCATTACATTATCAAAGAATATATCTTGTTTGGTTTTGTGATTCTCATATGATGTCACTCAGATCATTCTGTATGCGTGTTTGCCATTCTTATGTTCACAACAAATGTTGCTAAGCATTGAAAGGTCAAGTATATATGAGAAATTTGATTTACATAGCAAAGGTAAAATTGTTGTTGAACAAGTAATTCGGCCTCACTAAATGCTATTTCACTTGTGAAGTTCTTCATAGTGGTTGAACTATTATGCATATGTGAATCATTATGCACTCTGAATCAGTTGGTGTTTACCCGATTTTATACGTGATATAAACATTTATTATTGTACGAGGGTCCTTATTCATGTTATTTGTACAGGTCCTTTTCTAGTTTTTCCGTGTAGATATTTGTATTTTTGGGTGGGGAAATAGGTAGGGGAGAGTGTGGTGTGAGTGATTGTGGATGGAGGAGCTTTTGCTTGCATTCTATTATTTGGTCAATGTACCAGAATGGATAACATTCGAGATAATCCAAGGTCTAGTTCAAGCGAGAAAGATAATACCTAAAAATTTGTATACTATATGTGATATCTGCTATTTGATTGTACAATTGTTGTACTATGTTAGTGAATGACAATTTTTAAGTTAGCTGCACCTCCACAGTATATGGATGATTGTAATAAATATCTGTTTTTCGGTGTTTGACACTTTTTTCTTAATGCACTTTTATGAACATCTGATGACCTCTAAAATCATTTCCAGAATGAGCGTGGTCAAGTGGATGTTTGGTCTGAGAAGTGTCTTCCACCTGGAACCATCCATTTGAGGTTGCCAAGGGTCACACTGGTTGCAAAAAGATTGGAAATTGATTTTGCACCTGCAATGGTTGGGTTTGAGTTCCGGAATGGTAGGTCTGTACCTGTATTTGAGGGCATTGTGGTGTGTGCTGAATTCAAGGATGCAATTCTCGAGGTAAATGACTCTGTGCTTAGGTTCTTACAAGAAAAGTGGTTTACAAATGTCTTCCAGTTGTTTATAGTGGGATGCAGTATCTTGTATTGATCTAGTTTGACATTTGTTGCATCTGGACCATTCAGTTCTTACTGATTCTATCTTTTATGAAAGTTTGTCTGCATGAGTTTTTGAAATATTCAGAGAGTTTTCTATGAAGCTGATTGTCTCCGCGAAGTTGCATTGGTGGATCAACTGCTGATATATATATGTTTTTCACTTTCAGTGAACTCTGAAACTACACTATAGTTTTTTCAGATAATTTTTTGACCTTTTCTCAGGCATATGAAGAAGAAGAAGAGAGAAGAGTGGCCGAAGAAAAAAGGAGGAATGAAGCACAAGCTCTTTCCAGGTGGTATCAACTGCTGTCCTCCATTATCACCAGGCAAAGGTTGAACAACTGCTATGGAAATGGCACGTCACAGGAGGCCTCTGTTGGCATCCAAAAACCAGATGATACACTATCTGCTGAGGCAGGTTGTAAAGAGGATAGCAGGAAATCTGGTGGATGCCACCAGGATAAGTTGAAGGATAATCAGCCCACTAGTCCACAATCTGTACCCACAGAAGATCATGAACATGTCTTCTTGTTGGATGATGAGATGTTTGATGAAGAGAGTTCAACACGAACAAAGCGATGTAAATGTGGATTTTCAATCCAGTTTGAGGAATTGTAGATCATGTGTATGCTATTCTCGCTGTAACTTTTGCAGTGTAATCGTAATTTACATTGCCTGTAATATTACTAATGCTTGTATGGCAGGTTGGATGGCCTCGGTAGATTTAGAGGGCAACGTAAAAGGATATGTAACATTTGTACCAAGATATAAATAGCTTTTGCATCCCTCGGCCAGCCAACTTCTGTTTCATTTTCTGTCTTTCGAGCAAGGATGGGAAGCAGCCTTGGCACAAGCGGGGCATCCAAACCATTTGATTGCTCATGTTTACAGAATATGAAATGTAAAGAGAAGCTTAGCGAGAGATGGTCATGAGATACTCTCAAATCCTCCTCTTTTTCCTTTCTCCTGCTAAGGTTTTGGAGTCTTCCTCTGAACCTTAAAAACGAAAAGTCTTGATAAAGCTAGCTCAGTCCAAAGTCCAAACTCTGAAAGAAAAGAGTAACAATCTCTTCTCTACTATTGAGTAACAACTAACAAGCAAAACAGCAAGGGATCCGATCTTCCCTTAGTCGATAAGAGGGACTTTTCCTCTCCGATTGATGCTGCCATAATTGTGTTTTCTTTGGATATTTTTTGGTTATCCAACCTACATTACTGCTGTTTGTGCTTCAACTTCATGGAGAATGATTTAGTACCTCTTCCCCCTTCCGAGGTTCTCACTCCATTCTTTTTAGTTCACTTATGAAGAATTTTAAAAAGCTTTAGTATTAATCCTTCGAATACTTAAAATACTTAAACCTCCTAATAACATCTTGAAGTTACGAAAATAAAAACATACAAGATCCTGCGACTGATAGGTCTTTAAAGATAATATACTACTACTAATTCACATTTCAGTACAACGTTTGTTGGTGAAGTAAAACATTAGAAGTACTTAGGTGTACCTTTTGTACAACCATTTTATATTTTGATTCCTTAAACATCACCTCAACAAGGTGAAAAAGTAGATTCACCGTGTTACTTTTAAGTCTACAAAATATTCCGGAAACCGGTTCTTGATAGAGTTTATTATGATTTTATTGATTTGTTCAAGAAACTTGAGCAAGACTAAGGGCCCGTTTGGGGTTGTGGTAGCTTATTGAAAAATACTTTTCTAATGGAGTTTTTAATAAAGGTACCTATTAACTGTTTAAGTACTTTTAAATATATTGTTTGGAGGCATAATTCAATAAATACTTATTGTATTGGATAATATGTAATTTGAAAAATTTTAAAAGTGTTTATCTCTTTATTTGATTTATAATATAGGATAACATGGTTAAATTTGATGTTTTATTTTTTAAATCACAAAAGCTACTCTAAAAGCACCAAATTTGAGCTTTTGCTAAGAGTGCTTTTAATACAAAAAATTTTACTCCTAATTTTATGGGATGATATTCACCAAACACTGTAAAGGAAAATTCGTTCAAAACGTCCCTCACATTTTGCAAAATAACTTTTTTCGTCCCTCACTTTTAAAAATGTAATTTTACATCCCTTACAAATTCACATTGATTAAATTTGGTCCCTACTTAGGTTTCCGACTAATTTTTGGTCGGAATTCACCGCGTGCCTTGCACGTGATCATATTTTAAGGGCAAAATTGTCAAATAAAATTTTATATAATTCAATTCATAATCCCTCACATTTCATAAAATAAATTTTTTCGTCCCTTACATTTCACAAAATGAATTTTTTCATCATTATTTTTCAAAATAAAATTTTTCATCTTTTATTGATCATGTGTGTGAATAATTTTTTTTAAATCCATGTATATATCTATTTGATTTCACCTGAACAGTACGAATAGCATGTGAAATCAAATAGAGATATATTACATATTATTTGTACTGCTCAAGTGAAATCAAATAGATATATACATGGGTTTAAAAAATTGTTAGTTTTTCACTTATATTCATTTTCTTTTACTCGAAATTTGAAAATAAAGAAGACATTTAATCCTAAATATTATCGAGTATTTATATCGAATTAAATTTGGATAGAAAAAGTAAACAAAAGAAAAGTATGACAAAAAGAAATAAGTGATTGGCACTTTCAAATTTTAAGACAATCACAAGGCAAGTAATTCAACTGTTGGTCTTAAAAGTGTCGAGTAGAAATTTTAGATTTAAACTGAAATTTTTTAGCACAATTATAGAATTCGAATTATGACCCATTAATTAGATGACCTTATTATACAACTCAATAAATAAATTATTACTAAAAGAGAAATGCCACAAATATTGAATAGGTTCAAATGGTGAAATTATATAAATATATACATGGGTTTCAAACAAAATTATTAGTTTTAAACCCCTATATATATCTATTGAATAGCATGTATATAACTACGATTAGCATGTTTAGATTAAACCCAATAGAGATAAATTACATGTTATTCATACTGTTCAGATAAAATCAAATAGACATATACGTGGGTTTATAGAAAAAAAGCTATTCGTACACATGATCAATGAGGGATGAAAAAATTCATTTTTTGAAATGTAAGAAACGAAACAATTCATTTTGTAAAATGTTAGGGACGAAAAAATTCATTCTGTGAAATGTGAGGGACTATGAATCAGATTATGTAAAAATTTGATTTGACAATTTTGCTCTTAAAAAATGATCACATGCAAGTCACGTGGTGGATTTCGGCCAAAAACTAGTCGGAAATCTAAGTAGGAACCAAATTTGGTCAATATGAATTTGTAAGGGACGTGAAATTACACTTTTAAAAGTAAAAAACGAAAAAAGTTATCTTGTAAAATGTGAATGATATTTTGAACGATTTTCAACCACTGTAAAAGTACTTTTAGCACCTAAAAGTGTTTTTTTTATCAAAAGCACCTCAACCCCAAACGGGGCCTAAATTGACCCGATTTTGAAGATAACTAAAATGTACAAAACAAAGGGATTAAACTAAACTAAAGCCTATAAATAAGGGACTCTGTGGTCATTTACCTAAACATATTGCTTAGGAATCATAATGGAAATAGGGTAAAATATTATTTTGTTACAATCTCAAACGTCAGGAAAAAAAAAAAGAAAAAGAAATGACACCTTCTGTCAAAAGAAAAGAAAAAAAAAAAAGGAAACCCAAATTCTCTACTTGCCAAAACTCTACTTAACTAAAAACATCTTCCTCACAAGTCAAATCATCGAATTGTTTCTTCGCCTCAAGACAACCGAAATTAAGGTATGCTCATGTCTTCTGTTCCATCTGTGATTGTCCAATCGTAAAGTTTTAGGCTTAGAATCATATATGGTTAATAATTCAAAGGGATTTTCAGCAAGTTGTTTGAATAGAACAATAGCTTCCGATGTGTACGGCAGTTGCACCAAAGTTTAACGAGGTATATATTATATGCATGCAAGGTTTAACCAAGTATACATTGCATGGAAAGGTTTAACCAAAGTGTTGCTGTATGAAACTAATTTGCTCATGAATTTAGGTTTACCTTCTTTGATATTGTCTATTGGCCTGCAGTTATGTAGTTTTTTTTTTTGTTTTTTTGGGCAACATTTATTCAAGTTATGAACTTATGATAATAGATTTGTGCTTCAATTTCATGCTTTTAAAGGAAATTCTCGCTTTGAACTCCCTATTCATGACTATGATTGTAAATTTCTAGATGAATCCTCCATCTTGTCCCCCTTTACCAACGGAAAGAAATCGAGATCAAGAAGAGTTCATCAAGTTCTATATGTTGAACAAGATGACTTGCAACTACTTAGTTGCTCTTGGCTTAACGATAGCGGCTGAAAACTTTAGGCAGACTGTGAACCTAAACCGCCTACGGTGCCTGACTTCAGCTCCCGTGGTGGATGAATTGCTTCAGCATGTGGCCGTGCAGCAGCAGCCCAACATTGAAGCACAATTGTTTCCCACCTTGGCTGATGCCGTAAAAAATGGTACCACAACTACAATTAATGCTGCAGCCACCTCTGCAATTGACTCAGCCACTGTTCCTAGCTGTGCCGGCCCTCCTCCCAATATTGCTCCAACATTGCCTTTGGCTGGTCCAAGGATTGTATACGATGGCCTTCCCAATAGTATTGCCCCAAAATGGCCTTTGGTTGGTCCAAGAATTCTTAATCATGGAGCAAGTCTTGGAAACACTTCCATGGGATGCCATTTTCCAATTGTAGCAGCACAACAACATACAAAATTCTTTTGTGCAAACACGATTCCGACTCCAAGAGCAGCGAGGATCATTGGCAATACATCTATTATGAGGTATCAGCAGCTACAACAACGTCAGCATCGGCATAAAATACTATCGCAGCGAAATCTTGCAGCTGTGGTGCAAAATCACACAGCAATCCAGGGTAGCAAGCGCGCTCGACCTGACACATTTTCCACCGCAGGATCTAGCACAAACCGACCACGAACAGCTGCCATATCAAGTCCTAGCGCATCTGCTATTATCGCTGGTTGCACAACCGACTTATCTGACACATGTCATATCTCTAGTCCCACAACATCTGATCAAGTCGCAGGTTGCGCATCTCACATTGGCAGGTTGCACATCTCATGACATGATAATTCGTTCCATACATTCAACTTCTCGAGTTGTTTCATTCTTCCATGTTCATTTGCTACAACATTTATGCTTGCTTCTAGTGAATTACATTAGGATGGTGCACCTTCTTTTAACTATTTTCTTAATACTAGGAAGCTACAACAACTAGTTGAACTCTCCCTATACCGTATAATTTTGGAACCATGGAAAGAATTCAGAGTCTCTCAATTTACAGAAAGGCGGCAGTTTATGAGTCCGTATTGTCTTTCCTGATCACCATGTTATGTGTTTAGGTTGAAGACTTTCTCCTCCCTTAGTTGTTGGTCTTGTTGATAATTTGATATACAATAAAACACTAAAGTTCAAAAAATTGATAATATTTGTACTTGGCAGGTGGCCATATTTCATTGAGCAGAAAAAAAATTGCAAGTTTCAGTCATGCTAAGGCTTTTATTTGAGTGAAAAGTGGACCAATAGTCCAACAATTTAAGTATTCAAGTCAATTCATTCACGTTGTTCAGAAAAAAAAAAAAGGTCAATTCATTCAGGTAAAGCCGAGCACCAAACATTTAGAGACATAAAAAGACAATCTCTATACATCTGTATAGAAATTCTTTGAACATCTATTAATTCCCAATGGATGGGCTCATCCTCAAACCTATAGAAAATAATTGTTGACTAAAGCAGCTAATTGGAAGTACTTCCAGGTTAAATAGGATTGAGCAACTACACAAAGAACAACTAACTAGCTAGTAGTTTGAGCCTTGAAGCAGTAGTGTTCTTTAGTTTATTCTAGTAGATGCATGACGGGCGGCTCCAAAAACGTGCGCTGCACTACAAATCATTTCCGACATTGATGGAAAAGCGTGTGCACGATCACCATATATTCCCCTGCCAAAGCTCTCCTCATGTCCACACTCACAGACTAATGCCGGCACCAAAATCTCCATCAGCGCCACCTCCAGCAACCCCCAATGGCGAAATTGCACCGGAGAGGTCGCCGTCGCCCTCCCGGCCCCAAATTGCCCTTCAACAATCTTCCCATCAGAACAAAAAAGGTTCATTTATATCAACCAAACTTTTCCGTCGAGTCAGGTCAGTGTTCAAGTCATTTCCTATAGTCAGTACGCCTTGCAAGATGCCGATCCCAATCAACGGTGGTCGGCCTCACGACGGCCACCACATTCATGGAGGAAAGCAAATGACAGGAACCCTTTTCGGGTACCGAAAAGCTAGAGTTAACTTGGCTATCCAAGAAAATCCCAGGTGCCTTCCATTGCTTGTGCTCGAACTCTCCATCAACACCGGAAAGCTCCTCCATGAGATGGGATTGGGGCTGGTCAGAATTGCTTTGGAGTGTGAAAAGCATCATCCCTCGGAGAAAATCAAGCTCATTGACGAACCGATATGGACTATGTATTGCAATGGTAAAAAAGTTGGGTATGCAGTAAAGAGAGAGCCAACTGAGGATGATTTGAATGTGATACAAATGCTTCATGCAGCTTCAGTGGGAGCTGGGGTGCTTCCCATTGATCATACCAGTGCTGGAGAATCTTCATCGGATGGCGGAGAATTGACTTACATGAGAGCTTGCTTTGAACGAGTGGTAGGATCCAGGGACTCGGAAACTTATTATATGATGAATCCGGATGGTCGCAACAGTGGACCAGAACTTAGCATTTTTTTCGTAAGGGTTTGAGATTTGATCAAGAAAAGTTGTAGTATCTTGTAATCATGTTCGTATTACATAGGCCAGCCTTCTAACATATGCATTGTATTTGTTTTGAGGATGATTTAACATTTGCTTTAGTGCGTTAAAATGGTAAATTTTGTCTTGAATCTTACCAGTATGCATCCTTGAAATCCGTCCGACTAGTAAATAAACCTCATAAAAATGTTGAAGTTGACATGTACGTACGTAAACATCTACAAGAAGAATTGTACAGACAATATACGAATTACCTTTGTTTATTGAACAAGAAATGTATTTCGACAATTGAGCTATTGACGAAGCAAAATCCTACGGACATATTATAGGGCAAATTTCAAGTCACAAATTTGATATGCTTAAGAGTGGTGGTACAATTTTGTAAACATCATCAGATTGACAGACCAACTTTTGCCTAAACAGTTTTTAAGATCGCAATATTCTACAGTATTCATTCAAAATGTTGTTTATGACGACTAGTGCTGTTCATCGAAATAACAGGTTTCTTCTTTAATGGAACTGATCCTATTTAGTACTTACTGCTCCAATTTCTCACGGCCACCAAATTAATTAGTCTACGTTCTCTCTCCTTTTTTTTTCAATTATTTTTAAAGGTGCCCCTCTGATATATTATGAGAGAAATTCTCGTTACAAACTGTAGAAAATATAATTCACAGGCCACCAGAAGATTTTATGCATGGCAATGGACAAGTTTATTAACTTCTTAGAAAATTTGCGTTACCCCCAATTTCTGTCCTAAGACAGGGCAGAAATTTTCCAATTCCTGTAAAATTAATAGTATGAAGTATGAACTCATGCGTTTCAGATCTCTGTTACTGCTAATAACCAACCCCAGAAGGAACCTCCAGAGATCACCTTTAGTTCTTGTTAGAGCAATCGAGTTTTCAACATCTGGAGCTAAACTACCCAACTGGGTTTCCGCTAACAAGTTGTTTCAAAGGCACCCTTGCTTATATTTTCTCGAAAAACATTGCCAATCGTTTCATCAACTCAAACAAATCCTTTCCTATGTTTTTGTCTCGGGTTTGCATAGAAACCCTTTTGTCATGAGCCGTGTCCTTTACCTTAGTCTATTTGAATTGGAAGGCCATCGAAAGGCAGTTTCAAACTTTGGGATTCAAATTTTTAATGAAATTCATAAACCCAATTTGTTTTCTTGGAATACTATCATCAGGTTCTTTGCTTCGTGTGATCATTCTGAAGCTGCTTTGGTTGCTTTTCTTTATTACATGAAAATGTTGAGTTCAAATACTTTCCCAGATAAATACACATTTCCCGCCTTGCTACAGGCCTGTGGGCCAATTTCTGATCCAGGTTTGGTTAAACAGGTCCATTCACATATTACGAAACTTGGTCCTGATGAGGATTTGTTTTTAGGGAATTCGATGATTAATGCCTATGTTGTTTGTGGAGCGAAATGTTTTGCCCGGGAGCCGTTTGATCAAATGGCTGAGAAAGATGTCGTTTCACGGACAACCTTGATTTCAGGACTGGTGGCATTAGGTTGTTATGGTGAAGGGGTTAATGTTTTCAAGGAAATGATGATGGATGGTTGGACAAGGCCAAATGCTGCAGCTTTTGCCTCTGTACTGTCTGCTTGTGGCGATTTGGGATCTTGTGATCATGCTAAATGCTTGCATGCTTTACTAGAGAAGGCTGGATGGATTGAGTTGGATGTTTCCATTTGTAATTCACTTACAGATGCTTATACGAAATGTGGAAGTCTAGAAAATGCTACTAAGGTGTTCAATGATGTGGAAGATTCTGAGAAGGATTTATATACATGGACTGCGATAATCTCAGGCTTAGTGATGATGGACAGGGAAGGGATGCATATATATTTTTTGCTAGGATGGAGCATGATTCTGGGATAAGACCTGATGCCGTCATTTTCATTGCCATACTCTCAGCCTGTGCTCAAGCATTATGGATGCATCATTGATCTCTTGGACGATCTGGGATGCTGGAAAGAGCTAATCATATTGTGGAAACAATGCCAATCAAGCCTAACCTGGCCATACTGGGATCTTTACTTGGTGCTTGTAGACTGCATAATAATATGGAGTTGGGGGAAGTTGTTTTGAGGAAGATTGGGACATTGGGCGGTAGAAGTGGAGGAATTCCTGTGCTTTTGTCGAATAGATATGCCAATGAGAACAAGTGGAACGAAGATATTCAGATTAGGAAGGAGGTGAGAGAGGAGATGCAAGAAAAGCCACCTGGGAGAAGCTGGATCCAAATGAAACATGAGCTGCATGAGTTTGTGGCTGGGGACAAAGTTCATCCACAATCCAAGGAGTTGCATACACTTGTGGAAGGATTGGAAAGGCTTGCAAAGATGCTAACGTTCTGATCTAGACAATTGGAATGAAGTGAATCCCATTAGGGAGGAAATGAGAGAAGAAATACTTGAAAAACCACCGGGGGAAGCTGGATCCAAATGCATGAATTTGTGGCTGGGGACAAAGTTCATCTACAGTCCAAGGAGTTGTTTGCAGTTTTGGAAGAACTTGCTAAGATGTTAATATACTGAAGTTGATAAGTCAGTGATCTTCCAGTTCTGCCAGTGCCGGGCATTGAAGCTGTTGATCTAATTGAAAATTGAATAAACAGATGTTAGGTTGAAAGTTAAATCATCTATGCTTGAGAAACTGCATTTTAGCAACTGGCTGGATTCTGTTTGGATGGAAAGGGACCTATGGCACGAGTACATGATGCAACAACAGCCTTTTTAAGTGTGTCTGTGATGCCCGAGTGATCAGACCAGGATTATGTCTATATTTTCTGACATTCTTGCACTAGGAAAGAGAATCTGCTCAGTCCATGGGCCCTAAATATTCAGCCACTATCCCTGTGTCCTTCTAAAGGAGCTTTCCGGGATGAGTACTACCTGACGGGGTCAGTATCAGCATGTCCAGGGTTCTACCGTCTGACATATATGCAAGATGACTAAATGCTGTTGCTAATAGTATCAGATAAGCATAACACCTGCAGCTTAAGCTGAAGGCTGCATGACAAAACTTACATCTCCAGCTGAATTAAAGTGCTTCATAATGGAATAAGTGAGTTTCACGGCAAGTAGAAGTGCCTGCCTGAGAAGTTCGAAGATGTCGCTGGGGGCGAGTTAATGCTGCAGTAACATATTAGACTATAATCCACAAGCATAGACAAGAGAGATTAAAGGATATATTTGGTTTTTTTTTTTCTTTTTCTTTTTCCAAACAGTTGAAATAGATAAAGGAATAGCAGATCTGTTTTTAACATCTAAGAATACCGGAAATGTAAGTTTATTGAATATGAATGCTAAAGTGAACCATGAAGTGCTTCTTCAAACTCCTGAATTCCCATTAAAATCGGTCCAATCTCATCCCTTTTATTCATGGGCGAATCTTCAAAAGTATTATGATTCTCAGACTGAGGTCAATTAATGGAATGCTAGTCCGTAATTGGGTTAGCACCCAAATCTTGTTGACAGGTGTTCGGATTTCTTGATTGCTCAGAATCCTCTTGTACATATTATCCGACAGTAGATAGAATCTTCTGTAAATACTACTATTAAATAACCTTAACGTTCAAAAATTTGGCAAACTCCACTGTTTTATTCCCTATGCCAATGTCTACGGTCAGTGATCACTACAGGGATTGCAAACAACCTTTTGAGCACTAACGGCATCTTTTTTCCCCACTCATTTCATTTTGTCCGAGGAGCTGAAGGTTCCAACAATCTGGGGACACCAAGATTCCGAGTGGGGTCCGCTTGCACAAAGAAATGACATTTTTTTTCCTTTTCTTGACAGGTCAAAGACATGTCGACATTGATACAATTTACACATAATGAAATTGACTGATTCGTGGATGGATAAACCATATCCACATACCTGGTTTTTCACCTAGTATTATTTGCAGGTCTTTCTTGTAACCGTAAAAAATTCCCTAACATTCACCCTTTATCCAAATTTTTTAAAATTTGAAGCTCCCAAGTTTTGTTTCCCTCCATTTCTCTTGGACCAGCAGCTCAAGATAATCAATCAACTTCACAATTTCATCCCGGGTATCTAGTGGATTTATAAACTGATAATGGACTCAAAATCCATCCCACTTAATAATCAAATAATCCCTCTATAGTGTCGGATAAAAGGCGTGGTTAATTTGCAAAAGATATATTAATATCAAAATTTTACACTTTCTACAGTAAGCCTACCTCTCATTTTGTTGTGCTTAACATGTAACCTTACGAACAAAATAGAAAAAGCCACCATTACAAGTTTTACAACCACCAAAGGTCATTATCTACTCTTTATCTTTATCCCTAGTCCGAATAGTCCAGGCAATTATAAATTGCCAGGACATTGAGTTTATTGCCTACCCTTTCACTGTTACCTCCTCTTATTGCACTGAATAATTGCTAAATAATGCATGCAAAACTACGCAAATTATCACTGATCACCAAAGGAACAAACAAAGAGCCAAGAAACGATAATCATCCAAAGCATATTAGCAGCAACCAGATTTTCGTACCGTACCATTTAAGTTAACTCCTAAAGACAGCAAACATCAATTAACCCAAGTAACAATAATGATACTAATTTACATCCACCTAACATTCTAAACCCAAACTACAAAGTCACCAATCGCATAAACGCTAAAGACAACATCCTTCCAAATCAAAAGACCACTCAACTAAAAAATTACGTTAACATCATCAACAAAACCAGCACTTCCCCCACTCTACTTTCCATTTTTCCTATTCAAATTCAGCTCTCTTCCATGCCACCCCCATTTTGAGCACCAGACTATGGCTGCACCTTCCTAGGCCTACCTCTAGGCCTTCCAGTTTTCGAAACAGCAGGCGGGGCAGTTGCTGGCTTGGGCTTCTTAGGTGCAGGCTCAGCATTGGGGTCCTTTTTTGGGCGGCCTCGAGGCCTCGGTGGTGAAGCCACTGCCTCTTGAGCAGCAGGGTCCTTCGGCTTCGGGGGACGGCCACGGCCTCTCCGGGGCGGGGCAGTTGGATCAGGCATCTGGTAATTGTTCTTGAAGAAAACGAGTTCACCACTTTCTTTCATC